AATAAAATCCAAGAAAGACAAGTGATGCAAAGTGACGCAAGTGATGCAGCCAGTCCCAGCGCAGTAACTGCTGTCTCCCCCGCCTCCTCCCCACTAACCTTCCCCCCAGTTATATGCTGAGCATGACGTCATATGGTATGGAATATCCCTTTGGTCAGTTGGGGTCAGCTGTCCTGGCTGTGTCCCCTCCCAACCCCTTGTGCACCCCCAGCCTACTCACTGGTGGGGTGGGGTGAGAAGCAGAAAAGGCCTTGGCTCTGTGTAAGCGCTGCTCAGCAATGACAAAAACATCCCTGTGTCATCAACACTGTTTTCAGCACAAATCCAAACCACAGCCCCATACTAGCTACTATGAAGAAAATTAACTCTATCCCAGCCCAAACCAGCACAAGTACAAAGTCCACTGCAGCTGTAAGGGCAACAGAGTGTTTTATTGTTTAATGGCATGGAGTAGAAAATGTATTTTTAAATTAAAAATAGATATGTTACTGTTTACTGTAAATTAATACCCCTGATAAGGTCATCTGAGTTTGCTTTTCTGATGAGAAGCAAAATTCAATTTATCATCTCAAAGTCTGATTTTCTATTTGTTTCCATTTATACAGCCCCCGTTAGAGAAATCAGATCCCAGTCTTCATTACGGGTATTGTCAGCTCTCTTAAAGAAAAGGTAACATCACCTTTTAGAGAACAACTGAGGCACTGAAGGAGTAAGGGCCAACTTTGTAAGGGGAGTAATGCGTTTATCTACCTACTAAGATGCCTAAATCCAACATTTAGGTCCCACTTACATTCATAAGGCACTTTGAAACCCTAAATCCTTGTGTAGCCATGCCTGTGTTTCTGGTCTTGGCCTCTACAGTTCACTGGCAGGGCCAGGACGTGGTCTGGAGCACTGCTCCATCTCGTCTGTGGGGTTCGGTGTCAGTCTGCACCCTGAGAGCATTTCCATCCCAGGCACAGTCTGGGTACAGCAGGAGCCTGTGACCAGTCACAGGAGGCTGCATGGAGAAGGCCCCTGTCTTTTGGGAGAAGCAGCTGTGGTGATATTCTGCTGCTCTCCTGCGCATGCCCTCCTGCTTACGTGGTCAGAGATAAGGCAAATCATGGTCAGCTGAGGTTTTCAGAGTGACTGTGACCTGCTTGCTCCCAGACCTGGGACACCAAGACAGTCTGTGGCTGCTCCTATGACAAAGGGCAGCTGACCCCCCTCAGCAGCAGCCACCGTCACCCCCACCCCTCCTGTTATTCCTCTGCCACCAGCATCTTGTTCCCCTGGTTCCTCATCCCCCACAGTGCTCACCCCAAATCATCATCTTCCTTCTGCAGGGTTGGAGTGGCCAGTGCTGCCCCCTTGTCCTCAGTGTGGCAAAATTTGGCAAAATTGGGTTTTTCCTAAACTGCTGAGGAGCCCTGAACCAATATTGTCACATGCATAAAATAAAGCATACGCATGCTTTATTGCAGAATTAAGGCTGATTCTTTTTAGAGTCTCCAACTGTAATTTAATTGCTAACTACCTTCTCAAGTCTCCCAGGACTGCTTTTTTAATTCATTAAGTTTACAATTTGCGGTAAAGTAGAACTCGTGGAATTATCCTTGTGCCTTTGGCCATTTTCAAAAATAAGTTAAGCCAAACAAATTACCATGTTCCCTTGGCTCACATTAATGGCAAGAGACATGTGAGACTCTGAGGGAGTGGGAACTTTCTGTGCATGTGTGACAGAGACACTGAGATGGTGAGAAGAGTGTAGTAATCATTTTTGCTGTCACTACACATTTAAGTGGACCAAGGGGACAAGGAGTAAAAGGCAGCCTGTGCAGTAGTCTCTGCGAATTTCTGGATTTCTTAGAAACAAAGTTGCCTGGCAAGAGCTACCTGCCCTGTGTTCAGACCATGACAAATCTTCCTGTAGCAGTTTAAGACATTATCATTCCATCTGTCCACCGTAACCTTCCCTAAGAGGATAAATTCTTCATAAGTGAGTACGTCTCAAGACAGCAAGCTGTGGAGCAGGGACGTGCGTTGCCTTCAGCTGACTCTGCCATGTTACAGCTGTCCTGCGCCGCGGCTGGGGCGGTGGCAGCGATGCTGGGCACCGCTTAGCTCTCCAAAGCTCCTTTGCTGTAACCTGACTGCCAAAGAGATCTCAGCTCAGCTATCACCGTGCATTTTCAAGAGGACATTTACATATTAGAATGATTGAATGCTGAATCTTATCTTAGCTGCTGATACAAAAATGAAAGCCAAACAGAAAGTGATATATTACTCTCAAAAAATGTCTTTCTGTAGTGCCAAGAAGTCAAGATTTTGGTTAATCTCTACTGTTAATTTTATGAAGAGAGGGAAAATAAATAATACAATAACGTATAAAGCATGCATGTCATGAAATGGTTAGTTTTAGTATTTAGCTTCTGTTGTCTATGTAGAGAAATGACATTAACATTCCTTTCTCTTTTATGACAGATCTGAGCTATCTTCCTTACGTTACATTATTAAAAAAATAAATCACTAGCAGTCTTATGTGGAAGTACAATAGTGTCTATAACTATTTGTCTGTGGATGTTTGCATCCATCTAAGTAAAGTGAAATGTGAAACTTGGATGCAATTCTTTAATATATACAAGTAATAAACTGGTTTTGTGGTGTTGTGGGTAATAAAGCACAAACATGCACGAAGTACAACCTCAGCAAATAAATTGTGGTATTCTGTATACTCAAAATAATTGTTTCTCTTCCAGGGAGTGTGTTAGATGGCAGTTAGTATGAAGGAAGTAATTAAAAAGAAGGGACTAAACAGAGACTAAGAGTGGGAGAAGGGGGAATGCTATGAAGAACAGACCAGAAGAAGGGGAAATGTGTCACTGTAATAAAAGCATTCATAGAAAGTTACTTTGACCATGTAAAATAGATACTACATGAGCAGTCCTGTATGGTCTGGGGTGGTTGGGGTTTTTTCATTCTTTTGTTTGGGAAAAAATCTACAATAATTTCATCTTTTTAAGACATTAAAATTTGCAGAGATCACAAAAATATCAGAAGTTGTTGACACATGTATGAGTAAATCTATTGTGAGATCTGGAACAGGGGAAATATATCTGTACACATATTTTAGCTTTAGATACACATCTATATCTATATCCATATAACTCCCTATCTGTCTAGCTCTATTCATCTTTTATGACCCAAACACAGCTGCAAGTAAGGAGTTACTTAACGAACTGTGGATTGCAATGATCAAAATATCTTTTTCTATTTTGACTTAAGCCTTTTGGAAAACAGTGACTGACAAGAATATCATAGAATCACAGAATCATAGAATGGTTTGGCTTGGAAGGGACCTCAAAGATCATCTAGTTCCAACCTCCCTGCCATGGGCAGGGACACCCTCCACTAGACGAGGTAGCCCAAAGCCTCATCCAACCTGGCCTTCAACACTTCCAGGGAGGGGGCATCCACAGCTTCTCTGAGCAACCTGTTCCAGTGCCTCACCACCCTCACAGAGAATTTCTTCCTAACATCTAATCTAAATCTACCCTCCTTCAGCTTAAACTCATTACCCCTTGTCCTGTCACTACACCCCCTGATAAACAGTCCCTCACCATCTCTCCTGTAGGCCCCTTCAGGTACTGGAAGGCCACAATTAGATCTCCCCAGAGTCTTTTCTTCTCCAGGCTGAACAATCCCAACTCTCTCAGCCTGTCCTCGCAGGAGAGGAGCTCCAGCCCTCTGATCAGCTTTGTGGCCTTCTCTGGACTCTCTCCAACAGCTCCATGTCTCCTGTACTGGGGCCCCTAGAGCTGGATGCAGTACTCCTGGTGGGGTCTCATGAGAGTGGAGCAGAGGGGCAGAATCACCTCCCTTAACCTGCTGGTAGTTAATATTTGGTAGTTAAATCAATAAGCAACTGAACTTGCAGTTGTAGAGCAACATTTTGGCTCACACAGCAAAATCTGTCATGAGATTTGAGCTAGAGAGCATTGAATTGAAGTTAGAGATGTGGTATCACCATGCTATCTGTAGAACTGCTGCGGCTGTTGCTGGAAAGCAGCAATGAAATCTTGTGTTTGCAAGCTAAAAGAGATGTTGGAAAATGAGAAACATAAGATTTACAAGGCCTAAGAAATTCAATATATTTATGTAATTCTCAAGAAGGTTGGGAAGTAGTTTAGATGTGTTCTCTGCAGGATACTCATCTTGCCCAACTGAGATCTCTACGGGGTAACTTTCTACATCTGAGCTAGTTATCTAGACTTCTGTGACAGGCAGTGAATAGAAAAATTTCCCGTGTGCTATTCATCTCAACTTGGAATAGTCATTAAAATATGTCATACAATATTTCTGAAAGTGGTTTGGTTGGTTGGTTTTGGGTTTTTTTTTACTTTAAATTGGCTCTAAAGCAAGTCTAGAGAAGTAACTCAGGTATGAAAATGGATAATATAGATGTGCCAGGTGACCAAGGTGAGATGAATCCTACTCTTTGAACATTCAGGGGTAGTAGATGCCTAATAACAAAGTGCTGTTAATCTACCAGAAAAAAACCCATAACAAGATGCAAACAAACTATTGCTGTTCACAGATGTGTAGCTGGGATATAGAACTATTTCTCTCGTGTTAGGTTGAAATAGCAAGTTATCTTCTTCTTTTCTTTTCTAGAATGATTACAAGAAATTGTCTATGCAATGCAAGGATTTTGTAGTTGGACTCCTTGATTTGTGCAGAAATACAGAAGAAGTGGAAGCTATTTTGAATGGTGATGTAGAGATGAGCCATAATAATGGAGAACATGGTCGCCCCAGCCTTAGCCGCTTAAAACTCGCCATTAAGTATGAAGTTAAAAAAGTAAGCTATTATGTTGATCAAACATACATGTCATGATAGTGGTATTAAATTGTGCTATTATTATATGTTTATGTTTTGGTAGCCTCTGACACTTAAATGAACATTTGGGCCCTTCTGCACAGTGTATTTTACAAACAAAAGAATCCTTGCCCCAAATAGCTTGTAATAGAAACAAGAAGCAGTTATTCAGGGTGGATACTGGTTACAGTCAGTATGAGAGCAAATGGCTCTAAAAAATGTGTATCTATATGCACAATTTTTAAATATTTACTTGGGTTTAGTTTTAATCTATTTTTTAAAAAAGAAGAAATTTGCACTACTTCTGCAGCCTGGAAAAGTATAGGATTTAATAAAAAACAGGATAGCACAGCCATGCATTGTGCACTGCATGATAACAAATATTGATACACATTTTTGTCAAGCTGTTGTGTCTTACTCAGAAAGTTGAGAAAACTTAGTGAAATTGAGTGTCTTACAGAAAATGTCTATTTGTCTGTATAGATGATCAGAGACACAATCTAGGAGTAACAGTACTGTGGTTCTCACTTCTGAAGAACAATGGGCTACAGCCAGTCTTGAATACAGGAGTTACTGTCCTTTCTTGGGCTTGCTTCCATTTCTACTGTCCATTTAATATTCTGGTCTGCATATGAAAAGTACTCAGTGGAACCAACTCGGTTAGTAGCTGCACCAAGACCCTTGAATTACCCAGAAAACTTCTCTTGGATAACATAAATTGTAAAGTTCCAGGTGACGTGTGTCAACCAGGGAGAAATGATTTCTGTGATGAAGTTTGTACAACTGAAGATCAAGAGGATACAGCTGGAGGATACACGTCAAAAGCAAGTTACCTTAAAGTAGATCTCCTGACAGAGCAGTAAAACCTTTGATAAAACTTTTCCAACGTAATGAAATGGATCAGACCAACAATGTGAAAATAAACGATATCTTATTTTAACAAAAAAAAAAAAAAAAAAAAGAAAAAAGAGGGAATCAGGATTCTCAAAAATCCAGTACAGACTGAATATATAGATCTAATTTATCAGAGAGGAATTGCAGATTTTTTTACAAAAATCAAGTTCATTTCTCTGGAGTGAACCTTAAACATTTATATGTGAGAAGTATTTATGTGTTCATGAAGGGAGGAAAAGAAGAAAATCATTTTGACTGAAGAGCACCTAACTGCATATGAAAACAAACCTGCAAAACACTTGGCAAGCTACGGTCACCTAGAGAGAGCTGAAACAACTTTTGAAGGGAAGATACTACACTGACTTTGTCCTTTGTGGTATCTGAGTCTTAATCCTTCTATGAATGTGAACTTTCTTTCAACACTTTCTCTTGCCTGAATAAAGACATTCACCTTCAGCCAGTCATCCTTTAAATATAGAGAACTATTTTAGGGAAAAAAAATACTGAATTCAGTTAAATTTTTAATTGTATATCTAAGTTTAGACTTAAAAATTTACAGTGCACAAGAATCCACTATTTATTAATATCTACCTTTGCAAGATGCTTCTTACACTTTCCAGAGGTTTTGACAGAAAAGAGGGTTATAGGCCAAACTTCTCAGTTTTGCAGAGTTTATCCAAAAGATTCCAGAACCAAGTTATAGTCTTCAGCTGATTTCCTACAAAAGTGACAGCTGTTTTCTTATGCCAGCTGAAAAAAATGGTATTTTCCATGTTAGCATGTGCAAATATGGCATATTCTTTCTTTCATAACTAAAGACTATATAGCGTCCTTTACAGAACAGAAAGACTTAAAGTTTTGGAATTTCAGAGGTAGTGACATGAAAATTAGAAATGTCAGAAACAAGTGGAGTTTGCCCAGATAACATTTATGTTTAATTACACTTAGGTGGAAATTATCACTTTGTGGTGGAAACAGTGTCAATAAAAAGCCAGTTTTTTAAATTAAAGGATTTATTGTTGCTGATAGCAATATACCTGCGTGCAAGAGGATTATGCTCATCAAAAAACTTTTTCTTAAACCTTTGTTAATGCTCCTTTGAATATAAGCTGAGTTATCGCTATTCCCACATTTGTAATGCGCTTCATATAGCTGTTTGTTATTTTAATAAAAGATACTCTGATAGCAATATTATTTTGTTGTGCTCCTTTTCTTTGTTACAGTTCGTAGCACATCCAAACTGCCAGCAGCAACTTCTTTCAATCTGGTATGAGAATTTGTCGGGTTTACGGCAGCAGACCATGGCAGTGAAGTTTCTGGTTGTCCTTGCTGTTGCGGTAGGACTGCCATTCCTTTCAATGGCTTACTGGATTGCTCCTTGCAGTAAGGTCAGTCTGTGAAATCTTGTAACGGCCTTTTATTAACTCCTCTGTTGTCTGTATGTAGATTCCTGCCTGTCAAAGATGAAGCATGAGTATCAATTACTGACATGCTTAAATCATACTTCAGAAATGTGTTATTTTAAAGCTGAGTTAGAATGGACTGGCTGCAGGATTGCATGTTCTGACAATTGTAAGAAAGACAGGTAATTGTACTGTGTTAAATGCAATGTGTATTAAATTAAATTAAATTAAATTATAATGTTTGAGCAAGTGTTGCCTTGTAGAAACTGTAGTTTAGAAACATTGAGTCAAACTGTTTTTTGTTTGGTTGCCTTAGTTAGGCAGATGCAGAAGATCCTCATTTCCCACTGATTCAGAGCTAGACTAAGTTCAAGCTGTGGGTTGATTACAGTTACCTCAAAGGCAATTTTATTTTTGACAACTAAGAATTAATAGATAGAAGTCGCTGAAACATGAATGCCAAAAATTGCAACAATCATCATCAGTTTTCTAGAAGTCAAAGTGAACAAGTGTTGGCTTGTCAAGACAGTGCTAATACTCATTATACCTCTAGAGGCTTTTAAAGCAGTCGCACAGCCTGCCCTGCATCCATTTATAATGCGCTATTTGGATTTGGATGCTGCCGTTGTATCTGTTTAGGATGATGTATATTATGGAAAGCCTTTCCACTAGAGATGGGGGTTGGAAGCTCTGACCTCTCTGAACTTTGTGTTGAATCTCTGTGTTAGTTGGTCACTATCCATTTTAAAAGGACACTGATGGAAAATTTCCCTTGAGAGTATATGGGATCCTATAGGGATTTTCAACAGGTTACAGTATAACATCTATGATTTTTGCACGTCAAATCCTGTGCACATATAATGATTCCAGGGGAACAGGAAGGTTGAAAGAGAGGACTGAGGTCTTTGTGGTTTGCTTTTTTTTTATTGTTCTCTGAGAAGAGAAAGGTGGGCCTTTTTTGTTTTGCCATATTTTTCATTTCTTTCAGTCTGAACTATAAAAATCAGTTATTTAATTTTCACTTTTCTGTATAGTGACTAGGATTTTTATGAATACTTTTGTCTTAAAACACACCTTGAGATTCAACGTACTTCAGTAATTGGTTTTCAACTATAGCAGTGACTTGTCTATTTGTCATTTTCCTTTTTCAATGATTTATTGGATCTTAAAGTAATTTTGAAACATCATACACTCTGAAAAAGCTATTTCAGAGTAGCTTTTTAAAGTCAAGGTTCAAGGGACAACATCCTTTAAAGTTTCACTTCCTCTGTTGCTATTTAGTCACCTCATTGTGTGATTTATATGTTGAATGCTTTTTGTTTCATTATATTCTGCAAATGTAAAATCTAATCCACCTTTTTCACCAGTTGCCATTTAGTATCTTGTGCTTCACTCATACTTCAAAATTGTATTCTTCTGTTTTTTGAAAACAAAAATGTTCACTGTCTAATTTCAGGATAGGATGACTCCAATACAGAACATGATACGTATCAACAGAGCCCATTCTGTGTATGAATTGATAGAATTCTATAAATTTCTTCTCCTTCTACCAAGATAAAGTATCCATTCTTTTTCTAGGTTTGGCACTACAGGGCACAGTGACAGAAGATAGAGAAAATATAGTATTTCTGGTGAAAATAACAGCTTGCAGTGGAGTTATTCTGACACATTTCTTTGTATTCTTATGCCATGGCTTGAGAAAGGCAAAAATGTCTTTATGATATTTGCAACATCTCAGTTAGCTACCTGTATAGATGACTAGTTTCCTCTTTAGGAAAAAGTTAATTTGAGCTTGGACGACAGATACTGAATTGAGAGTTTCAGATCTGGACAAAATTTTGTAGAAATATGTGGACAAAGTCCTGTTGATTTGGCAGGAATTCACTAATGTCACATGCTGAAAGGAATTAAAATTGCCTCTTGTTTGAGTTTCAGCCAGCAATCAACATGAAGGCACTTCAAAGTTTTGTGAACTGTTTGCTTTGCATTTCTAATTGGTAATTCAGTCTAACTACTGACATAATTAACCCCAAACTTCTAGAATACTATTTTATTGTATGACATTTTGAAAGAGTAAAAAACTTTTCCCAGTTATCTCCAGAAATCTCTAATGTCTGTGCTGTTCGGCTCTAATTAATAATAGAATTTAGATATTTAGCTTTATGAATTCATAAGTAATTCACTCAGCCCCTGGCCAAGATGAGGGATCTGAATTTGAAGTTGAGTCTTCTTTCACTGTTCCCAGCCACCTGGGGTTGGCATTTCTACAGAAGAAACTTAAGTCCTTACATGCTTTCTAGAAGCATGTTCTGAGGATTATACACATCCCTCTTTTGCAGTGTGGTAGAGGAAAAGAAATTGAACATTATGTCCAGTATATGAGGAGCTAGGAAATCGTTCTTCCTAAAAAAGTATATGCATTATCTCATTTTTGTTACCAGGCCTTCTCTCCTTTGTGATAGATGTGCTACCTGGAGCCCTATTTTATCATTTCTTTATCAATGCCATACTCTCTAATGTGACAATACTGATTGTTTCTGCACAGTCACGAAGGTGGAATAATGTGGATCACTGACTCTGGTCCCCAACGATTTCAGGTGATCCTATACACAGACAAATACATGTCGAAGTATCCACAGTATAACTATTGTATATCTTATCCTACCTATAAAACACTCTCCAAAAGAGTTTGCTATAGCAAACCAAAGACCATAACACAGAGGATCAGAAACAAAAAAAAACAAAAAAAAACCACCAAAAAAACAAACCCAAAACCCACTTAAATTACAGAAAGAGACTCAGAGCATTTACAAGATCATGTCCTTGGTCTGTGTAATGGGAGGGAATTTATTATGTCAAAATGCACAGTGAAAGTGTATTAAGGAGGGACTCTAGCTTGTAGAAAAGTCTGAACTTGCAAGATTATGGCCTTGTCTTTACATGTTGCTCTTTCTTTCCCTGATTTGTATTTTCTGACCTGTATCTTCTCCGTAGAGAGCTTTAGAATTTTAAAAGTGTCATTTCAAGATTGTATTGGATCACTGTTATATGACAATGTCATAATAACTTCCAGCATTTCTGTAATCAGTTCAACCATAGTCCTGCTTCCAGGGAGATTTTACCATATATATGTAAAAAATACTTTTCTGTCTCTTTTGAAGGGGGGAGGGATGGGTGCTAGGGGTTCAGTCTTGGAGTTCAGTGAACTCACCTGGTGAGTGACAGGCTGTCCTGGTTTTGGCTGAGATAGAGTTAAATTTTCTTAATAGCAGCTGCTATAGTGCTGTGGTTTGGATTTTGGATGAGAATAATGTTGAGAACACACTAATATTTTAGTTGTTGCCAAGCAGTCAAGGACTTTTCAGCTTCTCATACTGCCCTGCCGGGGAGAAGGTGGGGGTGCCCAAGAAACCGGGAGGGGACACAGCCAGGACAGCTGACCCAAATTGGCCAAAGGGATATTCCATACCATATGATGTCATGCTCAGTATATAACTGAGGGAATTGGCTGGGAGGTGGGCGGTGCAGGAACTAGTTGCGTGTTGGTTCTGGGTGGTGAGCATTTGTGCTGTGCATTAGTTGTTTCGTATATTCATTATTATTATTATCATTATCATTATCATTATCATTATTATTATTATTATTATTTTCTGTCTGATGAAACTGTCTTTATCTCAGCCCATGAGTTTTACCTTTTTCTTTTAGAATCTCTCCCCTATCCCACTGGTGGGGGGAGTGAGCGAATGGCTGTGTGGTTGTTTTAGCTGCCAGCCAGGTTAAATCACAATTTTAATTTTTTTGATCAAGGGGTATATTAGCATTACCTCCTTCAGTATTTTTTCTTCTTTTCTGGCTATCTCTCTTTCTGGTATCTGTCTCCTAACACATCTTTGTTTGTGAACACAAGAATAATGCATTTAAAAGGACACTGTCAAGGTACTTTATCATTTTCCAGCTCTGCTTTATTGTGTGTTGTTTATGGCTGTTCCTTCCTAGCTTGAAATAAAATCTTTCCCCATGACAATTACCTGTTCTCTTTATAGTTCACGCAAAATAATTGGTTGTTGAAGTTCATCTCATGAGGCTGATGGAATATTTTATTTAATAAAGGATAAATTAATTTTATTGAGTGAGAAACATAATGAATTGCATGCGCTTGCAAAATAATATAAAGGAGAAAGAAGATCAAATTTTGTGCCTGCTAACCTTGACAGTGTTCCTTTAGCAGTATCTTCTTTTTTTTCTTTTTTTTGTTTAGTTTTCTTAATGTTACCTGTATTTGAGACCTTGCCATCGCATCCTCGGCTGCATCCTCTTATTCTATGTTTCTGTAAAAGCTGACTGTAAGGACAGCAAAATTCTGACTTTGGTATTGGAATAAGTGTAGCAAAAAACCGAATACAAATAACTGCTTTCCCCTCCCTTTCCAGACCACAGATTGTTATATGTTGCAGCTGAGATTCGTGACACTTCCTTTCAATTCTTCCCAAGGAATTTTTGTCAGATACAAATACTGTCTTCATCTAAAATATGAAAAGTATTTTTCTGCAGGTGCCAACTAAGTGAACATGCTAAGACTTTTACTATTCATACAGACATTCTCAAAAATAAAGAATTGCTTAAAGTTCAGCTTTGTGTGAGTTTTTATGGAACTTTTAGGTTTTTTCAGTTGCACTAAACCATTTTAAAGTTGTTCTTGGTCATGACAGAGTTGAGGACATTTCCGTTAAAGGAGTCAGAGAGGAAATTAAGACACTACAGAACTATAAACGTAACCTTTTGAGGCCTCATGACTTCTATTATAAAAGAAAAAAAGTTAGGAAAACTGAACAATAACTGTGCTAAACTGAGTATCATGTCAGTTTAGCACAGGAACCAGAATTCTTTAGTCATAATTCATTCCTCGTGATAATTTAATGCTTTTAGTAAGTGTCAAAATCACATTTTCTTTGTTGCTTAATAAAGATTACTAGCATGTAAGAAATTGAACAGCTATAACATTCGTTTCTCTTGATTACCTGTAATAGACATAGATGCCCAAAATAATTACAGAATTATTTCAAAACACTGAGGTAAAAATACATATATGGTGAAACTGATAGATTATTCCTCTGAAAACAGCAAATAAGTAGAAACTTTTAAAGGTGATTATCAGCATGGCATCATAGTATACAGCTTTTTCCAAATATTTGTTCCTGTTTGTTATTGAAATATATATTTCTCTGTGTTACTGTTCTTTTTATACATTTTTACTTTGGAAGAAGGCAATGCAATATCCTTGTGTTTCATAACCTCTGTTGCAGCTGGGGAGGATAATGCGTGGACCATTTATGAAGTTTGTAGCCCATGCAGCCTCTTTCACCATTTTTCTTGGTCTACTTGTCATGAATGCAGCTGACAGATTTGATGGCACCAAACTCCGACCTAACGAAACAACAGGCAATGTAAAACAGCTATTTAGGATGAAAACATCCTGTTTCTCATGGATGGAGATGCTCATTATTTCTTGGGTAATAGGTAAAGATTAATTTTTGCTTAAATTTGTCTTGCTATGATTTCAGTGAAGCTGGACCCTATTTAATCCTTTGCTGTTAAAGTTATGTGTAACAATTGCAACAGAAGGAGTTTATTCAACTGGCTGCATTCCCATGTTGGCCTCACGTTTCTTATTTGATGTCAGCAGGATTCACATGTGCCTAGTTAATCACGTTCAGGTTAAGGACTTACTTAGGTGAAATCTACATCATCTGAATATGAATTAATTCAATTTTATGAATATCAAAGGAAAGCGTCTACCAGTTTTCTGGGTTTTTTTGAGTCAGGCTGTGTCAACTCCCAAGGGGAAAGATTTCCACATCATGGGCCAAGGTTTTTTGTGTCCAATTGTCTCTTTCTGCTAAAATTCTCTTATTTTACAAGCATCCTGGCAGAATTAATAGCGTATAACTGAATGAATTTTTGACAAAAGAGAAGCAGAGTATAGACTGTGAATATTCAGCAGTAGATTTTTCCATCCCAACACAGGGATGAAATGAATATTATGGATAGTTCTCTGAGCTGTCCCCCTCAATTTGGTGATGCAGTACTGGTCAGCATGAAAACTTGAGCACAAACGCTTAAAAATATTTTAGCTGTCTGATTCTTATTTACATGTCTAATACCATTTATTCCAATGGGGTTTAAATGCCCAAATATTTCAAAGATCTGGTTTCTGGTTGTTAGTTAAGTCATTAATATGGGAGAGTTAAATTCAAGCTAAGTAAAATTTGTTTCCATTCAAGAACTCATGCATTTAAAATATTTTGCTTTTATGAGCTCTCTGAGCCATTTGTACAACAACTGATTCTTATAGCTGTAAAAGACATTGACAGTCTTCATTTATTTAATCATATAGCTGTATATAAATTAATGTAATCATGTGTTACGGGAATAATATGGCACTTAGATTTCCAAATAGTCTATAAATATCAGTGTTTTCGTCTCATAATAAAGGAGTAAATAACAATTTTCCAATCTGAATTTCTAGTTTGCTAATTTAATATATTTTTTATTTATTTCAGTGTCATGCATAAGATGGTTTATGAAAAATTAATTCAGTGCATACAGATGTAGCATTGACTTTAATTATTGTTATTAACATTATAATTGTCCTTATCTGAAAATGATGAAAAGTTCCTTCAGACAATTTGATCAGTGCAAAAAATAGTGACATTATTCCAATTCATTTTTTTATTAACTCTCTTTAGAATCCTGGAAATGTAGTTCATGATTAAATAAATTTTATCTTGAAAAGAAGAAGGATACCATAAACTAATACTGTACTCCTGTATTTTATTATTAAGGGGAAATAATTAGGAATCAAACATACACCTTTGCTCTACTGAAGAAACATTAGATCTGATTCTTACTTTCATGCGCATTTGTCACATATATTTGCAATTTCAGTAAAATAGACTGTACTAGGGTACTCTGCAAATAAGAAAATGTGAATTCTGCTATTAGTTATACCACTATATGATCATGCCAGAGCCAGACTGTACGAGGGTATTCTGCAAATAAGAAAATGTGAATTCTGCTATTAGTTATACCACTATATGATCATGCCAGAGCCAGACTGCTCTTTCAGTCTCTGTGTCTGTAACAGATGATAATACATCCCATTCTTCTCTTTGAAAGCTTTTGTAGTTGTACAGGAAGAAGCAGTATGAAAGATTGTTATTATTACTCACATGAGAAAGAAGTAGTGGAATATATATGACTTGGCAGGTTCATGGATTTTAGTTTGTGTTCGAACTCCCACTGACCAAAATTGTTTTGAGTTTGACTGCAACCTACAGCATGTCCTATACATAATAAAATATCAAATAAAACAAACATGAAGATAAAAGAAAACACTGTTTTCTCTGTTCTGTCCTATACAGGCATGATATGGTCTGAATGTAAAGAAATTTGGTCTCAAGGTCCAAAGGAATACCTTTTTGAGTTATGGAATATGCTTGATTTTGGTATGTTAGCAATTTTTGCAGCATCGTTCATAGCAAGGTTTATGGCATTTTGGCATGCGTCTAGAGCCCAGAACTTCGTTGATGCAAATATGAAAGATCTGACAAGTCCAACACTGGAGCCCAACATAAAATACTACACCTTGGGTGAGTTGATTACACATGATTGGACTTACTTCTTGAGCCAAGATGAATTGATGTGCTCTTACGTCTGCAGTGCTTTAGTTCTACAATATCCTGCTTAAGAAATTCCCACCCCTTCTTCTCTTTCTCATCCCTGCTATTTGATCCCAGTTCCCTTGGCTGTGCTCATACATCTCTTTGGAGACTGTTCTAGACATCAGGCACTGAAATGATCTAAGATCAAAATAACCCCACTGACACCCCACTGCTTTTCAAGATTATTTTAATCCAGATACTTTTATCTGTCCGGTTATGCAATGCTATCCTGCAAACACTTGGGTTGGTGCAACTGTAAATATGATGTACTGTAATGCAGGGGCAGAACTAAGCAGTGAAATGCAGGAACTTCTTAAACCTACTTTGCCAGCATAACCAATGTATCTTTTATTTATTCTTTGCTCAGAGATTGTTATATTGTTTTAATATTTCTTAATCTGCTCTCTTTACCAGTAAGAGATAAAAATGTTAACAAATTTGCTTGGCATATATGAGAATTGACTAGAAGCTATTTTGTCCAAATGAGAAAAAAATAAGCTCAGTTTACTTGTGTTCACTCTCAACACCACCACATCTCTCTTCCCTTTATTAGGTATTTTTGTCTAGATACTGAATTACATCAGTTTCTATCTCTATTCTATGCCTCAAACACTATTGCTGATAAAGTTGCATTTCTTCATTATCCAGGCTGTAGAAAAAGCAGAACAATTAATATATATTCTGAAATCCATTAAATTGTAGTCTTATAAATTTTGCTTGGAAGTTACAGATTTCACATAAGTTATAAAAGCAGTTAGTTAAATATTAATTCAGTTTTCAGTAACAGCCACTTAAAGAATTGCCAGACAGGGACTGTTTATGTTCACAGTATCTGGGTATGACAAGCACAAGTCTTGTAACTCATTTGTGCTGTATAATACTGTATCATCTAGCAAGGCAGTTTCCATTGACATCAGTCATGAGTTCTAACTTTGTTATGCACCTAAGCAGAGTTGAGCCAATTTTTAGTGTATAGAATCATAGAATCATTTAGGTTGGAAAAGACTGAGTCCAACCATAAACCTAGCACTGCCAAGTCCACCACTAAACCATGTCCCTAAGCGCCACATCTACACATCTTTTAAATACCTCCAGGGATGGTGACTCAACCACTTCCCTGGGCAGCCTGGTCCAATGCTTGATAAGCCTTTCGGTGAAGAAGTTTTTCCTAATATCCAATCTAAACCTCCCCGGCATAACTTGAGACCATTTCCTCTTGTCCTATCGCTTGTTATTTGGGAGAAGAGATCAACACCCACCTTACTGCAGCCTCTTTTCAGGTAGCTGTAGAGAGCGATAACGTCTCCCCTCAGTCTCTTTTTCTCCCGGCTACACCCAGCTCCCTCAGCTGCTCCTCAGAAGACTTGTGCTCCAGACCCTTCACCAGCTTCGTTGCCCTTCTCTGGACACGCTCCAGCACCTCAGTGTCTTTCTTGTACTGAAGGACCCAAAACTCAACCCAGTACTCAAGGTGCAACCTCACCAGTGCCGAGTACAGGGGGACAATCACTGCCCTGGTCCTGCTGGCCACACTATTTCTGATGCAAGCAGGGATTCTGTTGGCTTTCTTGGCCACCTGGGCACACTCTGGCTCATATTCAGCCAGCTGTTGACCAGCACTCCCAGGTCCTTTTCCACTGGGCAGCTTTCCAGCCTCTCCTCCCCAAGCTTGTAGTGTTGCCTGGGGTTGTTGTGACCCAAGTGCAGGACTCGGCACTTGGCCTTGTTGAACCTCATGCAATTGGCCTTGGCCCATCAATCCAACCTGTCCAGATCCCACTGTAAAGCCTTTCTGCCATCATGTACACTGAAGTCTTCTAGGAGAACATCTATGTATGGTCATATTAAAGTGAATAATATTAGTAGTGAATATTTAATGCCACAGGTTTTATCATGGGCTAGCAAAGAGTCCTCATGGCAAAGGCGGCCAATGGTATCCTAGACTGCATTAGGCAAAGCATTGTCAGCAGACCAAGGGAGGTGATCCTTGCCTTCTATTCAGCACTGATGAGGCCATACCTTGAGCCCTGTGTCCAGTTCTGGGCTCCCCAGTACAAGAGAGACATGGACACAGTGGAGAGAAGGGCCTATGAAGGGCCACAAAGAGGGCCTCTTCTATAATGAAAGAATGAGAGAGCTGGGACTGTTCAGCCTGGAGAAGGGAAGGCTCAGGAGGGATCTCGTCAATGTATATAAATACCTGAAGAGAGGGTGCAAAGCGAACAGATCTAGGCTCTTTTCAGTGGTGCCCAGTGACAGGACCAGAGGCAATGGGCACAAACTGGAACACAGGAGGGTCCCTCTGAACATCAGGAAACAATTTTTTTACTGTAAAGGTGACCAGGCACTGGCACAGGTTGCCCAGGGAGGTGGTGGAGTCTCCATCCTTGGAGATATTCAAATACCATCCGGACATGATCCTGGGCAACTGGCTCTAATTGGCCCTGCCTGAGCAGGGGGTTTGGACCAGATGACCTCCAGAGGTCCCTTCCCACCTCAAACTTTCTGTGATAGTACAACTCATCTGGAAACCTAAAAGATGTCTGGCTACTAGCCCATACTGAAATATCTGCCATCTTTTATTTTAGTTATCCATGAAATCTGAGGTAAAGCTAATGTAAGTACGTGTCCTTATGTGAAAATGTGCAGTCTTTTGGCATACAGACATTTTCTCATTTGAATGTAGTGTGTAGTAGGCTTTACAGTGAGGAGCTCAATAAATAAAAGAATATACACACACCTATAAGAAACACAGCAGCTAGCAAGGGAATGAATATGTGCTACCTGAGCCTTGCTATGCCTACAACCAGAGTCATTCATTACCTGTCATGATACATGAATACTGGCATGGAAGTATGTTCCTTAAAGAATATAATTTTCGGACACTTTATTAAACAGTTATTTGTTTGTTAACATCTCAAATTAGTGTTTTTCCAAATGCCAGTGATTGCCTTCATTGCAGTATAAATCATGTGTTTAAATTTTTGGCATTTACAGTAGAGTAAACACAGATGACGACAGTTTCCTGGGATGTAGGAAACCTATCCCAGGTTAAGCACAGTACTGAATTGAACTTAAGCCTCCCACCTCATGGGAGAATGCCTGAATCTTCAGCTAGGAAGTGTCTTGAATGCTGTTGTTTTGGATTTCTCCTTCTGACACATGTCTATAAATATTTCTTTAAGTACAGGTTTGAACCTGAATGTTCCCTTATTCAGTTGAATGTGTTCCCTATCAAACAGCAGTGTCACGTTCATTCATGACCCAAAGCATGTTCAAGTAATTCACACAAGTGGATTAGCTTCAACAGAAGAGATTGATAGAAATGATGATAGAAAAGATGATGGAAATGGGTGTTTGGTGTATGTCAGGAAAGGGCTATTACCAGTAATAATGGATTAAATAGAAAAAGTAGAGAAACATTGTTTCCACAGTTTTGGAGTTGTGGATAGCATTTAATGATTCCACATTCGCACCCACAGTTCATTTTGGATAGCTCAAACAAATCACTTTTGTAATTTAATTTATTCAATTTTCCTCACCTGACACTATAAGCTGAATTTTACTTAAATTCTCTAATAGGTTGTGGTTCAACTCCTAAAAAGTTACTTCAGTGATCTTACAGCCCGTCTTTATAATCAATGGAGATCTAATCAATACAGACAGTGGAGCTGTGAAATGGCTTTAGCGCTACCTGTGTCAATTCAATTGGCCAAATATAAGTGACTAGTGCCATTTGAATTGCCAAGGTGCTGCTCCAAATAGACCTCGCACAGATCTGCACAAATCATCTTGGATACCCTGGGCATCTCAAATGGCAATGGATGTCTTTGGTCAGGTGTCTGAATCAAGCCCCAAGCGCTCACCAGGCTGCAGGCTATACCTCCCATTTGGATAGCTGGCTGTAGACATATTAATCTCAAACTGAAGCCCACACATGGTTTCTTCTAATTAAAAATTACACTTTGATGAAGGTGTAAAAAGAAGAGAGTAAAGCATAAGTCAAAAAGTAAAATGCTTCCCCAGCCCTAGCATAGTAAGTGGAATAATATCCCACTACTGTTTCAGTCTTAACAAGGTATCTTCCTTTCTTTCGCTTTTATTTCTAGCAGCATCTTCATGTAAGACATTTGATGAGCACTGTGATGTAGTGGACAACCACTACTGGCACTCTTTGAGTAGTCATACTAGGTACATGAAAGTCCATGTTAATTCCTAAGTATTCTCAGCTCTCAGTGAGGAAGTAGATTTTCTATGTGTTAAGTTTGAAAGGGTAGAAAGTAACTGCTCCATATTTCTAGAGAACAAAGAATTTTTCTGCAAGTGAAAATAACTGAAAATTCATGATGCAATGTACAATAAAGGGGGAAAAAAATGAAGACTGCATCTTATCTGTTCTAAATTTGCATAGCACCGTTACATTCAACTCCAGTTTACAGTGACTGGTTCATTTTTACTCACCAAAAGAGAGTACTTCAGTGAACAGCCTAAGGTAGACTTTGAAATACTGACCAAAATTCTCATCTTTTGTTTCTAGCCAGAATAAACTGGGATCCGTCTGATCCTCAGATCATATCTGAAGGCCTGTATGCCATTGCGGTAGTATTAAGTTTCTCGAGAATAGCCTACATCTTGCCAGCTAATGAAAGCTTTGGACCACTGCAGATATCACTTGGCAGAACTGTGAAAGACATTTTCAAGTTCATGGTGATATTTATCATGGTGTTTGTGGCTTTCATGATAGGCATGTTTAATCTCTATTCCTACTATCTGGGAGCAAAACAAAATGAAGCATTCACAACGTAAGTGCAACTGATTAAACTGTAATGCTTGTGGGCTAATTTTATGGAAAGTTGATTGTATTGTATGTATTAACTTTACTAATTTTTTTATAAGGTTTGCAGTTTGCATCTCAAAAATTTCTTCGTCTTGGATTCAGTAGTGATTTTCTCTCTTGTTCTGGTGCTTAAAGGATATATTTGAAATTAGAGGATGAGTTCTTGATCCCAACAATACTATGATAGATCAGAAAAGGCAGGCTGGGAAGGTGAGATGTAGTTGGCCTTTACATGACAGAGCAGCCGGAATGCCTGTACCTCTGCCTAGGGCTCGGTGAGCCAGCGAGAGCTTATATGTCAGGATTAGAGTGCAGACCAACATGGGTGATGTTGTAGTGGATATCTGCTGTGGAATGCCTGATCAGGAAGACAAAGTAGATGAGGCCTTGTTCAGACAACTAGAAGTCTCACACTTGCACCCCTGGTCCTTATGGGTTTTTTTAACCACCCCGATATCTGCTGAAGGGACAACACAGCAGGGCACAAGCAACCCTGGAGATTTCTGAAGGGCATTGACAATAAATTCCTGACACAGGTGCTGATGCAGAGAGGAGGTTTGTGACACCTAACTTTTACAAAAAAGGAAGAACTGGTTGAATATGTGAAGGTTGGAACAGCCTTGGCTAACCATGAGACAGTGGAGTTCAGGTTGCTGAGAAGAGAGAACAAGGCAAATAAAAGGACCACAACCCTGGACCTCAGGAGAGCAGACTCTGGGCTGCTCAGGAAAGAATCTCATGGGATAAGGCCCTGAAGAGAAGGACAGTCCGGGGAAGCTGGTTGATTTTCAAGAATTGCCTTTTCAGTACTCAAGATTGGTCCATCTCAATGGACAGGAAATCAGGCAAAGGTGTCAGGAGGCCTGTATGGATGAACAAGAGTGATAGGCCAGCTGCTCAGAAGAACCTTGACAGGCTGGAGAAATGGGCCGACAGAGACCTCGTGAAGTTCAACACAGCAAAATGCCAAGTCCTGCCCCTGGGGAGGAATAACCTCAGGCACCAGGACAGGCTGGGGCTGACCGGCTGGGAAGCAGCTTGACAGAAAAGGACCTGGGCGTCTTGATGGACACCAAGTTGACCATGAGTCAGCAATGTGCCCTTGTGGCAAAGCAGCTCAACGGCCTCCTGGGCTGCATTATCCTGGGGAGGCTTATAAAAAAACAGAAGTACATCAGACCGTTTACACAGCACTATACATATGTCAGATGACCTGTCAGTGCAATCTGCTGTTCAGAGGTTTCAGGACATAGTTTGTGTCAGGCCCTGGGCCTGCAGGACAGCATCCTGCCTGCAAGGGCGGTCAGTGCCGGCACTTCAGGACGCAGCGTAGTGGCTCCCTGCAGCACGTGGGAGCAAGGTTGGTTCCTCCATCAGCTGCCGCTGTCATCTGTAATTGAAGCAGGCTAATCACTTCAGTGTGATACACATTATGAAATACTTGTATTTAATTCAGACAACTCTCTATATTCTTACCAGTCACAAAAAAATCTGATCCCTATTTTAAGCTCTGGCTCTCATAGTTTCCAATGGCAATAACCTATTCCATCTTGAGAGGAGAAAATATATTCCCTTGTTTTTGTTGGGGTTTTTTTGGGGGGTTTGACTGTTTCCTCGAATGTTCTTTTTTTCATCTCCCACCATAAAAAGAGAAATTCTGAATTTAGCCTGTATGTCAGGAGTTATTTGGTATACATTTGTCATGCCTCTCATTTCTGCATGTGATTTTAAGATAAATTATTTGAGTGGAAATTCATTCTTTTCCATGCTCTGCAGCCCTTGCCCACTTAATTTCTGGCTGTCATGATATTCAATCTCTAACTGTTATGAACTATACTCAGCCAGAGAGCAAACTTGGCTAAGAGGGAAAAAATTGTTACTACTTTTTTATTAGTAGCAGTTCACATAATAGGTGAAGTACCTAAAACTACAACTCACAGATGGAATACTGATAAAATATTATAAGCAGAGAAGTAAATTCACAGCTGAAAATAACAAGTTTCTTTTAACTTTTTTTTTTTTTCAACAATGAAGCAATAAAACCTAAAATGTGCTTTGCAATTCTACTGCATTTTTGGATATGGGAAACTGAGATCTCTTCATCAAAGCAAGAGAAAATATGTCTTCAAACATATGGAAAAGATACCTCAGAGTTTTGGACTTATGTTTATGTGTATACATATATATATATAAAAACTGATCTAGAGGAAATACATGTATTTAAATGAACTAACCTGAAAAAACCTCCCAGTATCCCCACACCATGGCTTACTACCTTTACCCTGGGTTTATGGAATAGTGAAAACTCAACTGGAGGATTATGGTCTGCTAGACTCATTTTTTGAAAAATGCTGATTTGCAATCAAGCATTCTGTCTTCTTCACAATTTCGAATGTTAGTCATTTTAATGGTGAAATAATTCATACTAAGTGAACTAATGGTGCAATTAAAATAAAGTGTTTACAGGTTAATTATTTTTGTTTACATTCACATTACAGGCAAGCGTGTAGCATGTAGATTAAAGTAGTTAACAAGTGAACCATTATAATATTCTTTTGAGGGCATATATATAATTTCTAAACTGAATCAGATGACTTTATTGTCAGTCCTAAATATTAGAAAACTTATATTATGTAACAGCCTGTACCTATGAAATCAGATAGTCTACTTGTTCTGCTTAATATCACTATGGTAGAGTTCTATATTATGATAATGGAAAAAATTGTGTAAAAATGTATAAAAATGGTAACTGGCAATTTATACAATAAGAATATACAACTTTTTTTCTGTAACATATGCATGTGTTCGATTTCTCCTTTTAGTGTTGAAGAAAGTTTCAAGACATTGTTCTGGGCTATATTTGGACTCTCAGAAGTTAAATCAGTTGTCATCAATTATAAACACAAATTTATTGAAAATATTGGTTATGTCCTTTATGGAGTCTATAATGTAACCATGGTCATTGTCTTACTGAACATGCTTATTGCAATGATCAACAGTTCATTCCAGGAAATTGAGGTAAAAATTCCTTTTATGATTAAGTATCACCACATTTACTGTTACAGCTAATTGTCTAAATCTCCTGGACAATCTGTCTTGTTGACATCTTAGAAAAATAACACTTAGGCTTTGGAATATATTAGGAGAAAATTTTAATTCCACTGTACATTTTTATTATAAAATACCTGGAAATTACCCTGCATATGCTTGCAATAGTAAGAACTACACTGGACTAAGAAACTGCTGTTGAAGTGTTATGTTCCTGAAAAGGAAGGGCTACATTGTGTGACTTTGTGAATCTTTCATTTGCCTCATTTGTAGTTGTTATTTGAGTAGTGTCCCTCTTGTTGCAAGGATGTTCTTGTTCCTGTGCCTGATGACCTTGAAAGCAAGTCTATAACATGCTGTTTTCTTCTTTTATTTAAACTGTTGTTCTGGTCCTCTGCAGTGAGCAAAACTTTACTTGGCAAAGTAATCAGCAGAGCTACTGAAAATCAGCATGCACTTTTGCATGCCGTGGAAGACAAAGGGCTAAATCATTATTATTGTTTAGAAAAAAAAGGAAGCAGCTCTCCAGGAGCCATCCCAGCCTTTCCCAGGTGATGCCCTTGCCACAAAGCAGCAGACTCAGGTTGCTTGACAACCCTCTGTTCCCAAGTTCTGAGCTCTGGTTTGGGGCTGTAGTGTTGTCCGGCTTGAGGAAGAGCAACACATGTTGTCTAGGGACGTTCAGATTCTTCTGACTCAGGAGGCCACAGAGCAAACTACCAGATGCAGAGCAATAAAACCCAGGCTATCCTCAAAAAATATGGTGACTGGATGCAAACAGCTTTGAAAAAACAGCTACAGTAATATTGAGTCATGTCCTTGAACATGACGTCAGTCCTTTCTGCAGAAAACTCTCTTGACTTTATAGGGAGGAATAAAGTGAGTGTTTTGGCTATCATAAATATTAAACATAAGCCATGGTGATGATAGCATACTTGATTTAATCTTATATTTCAGTAAGTGGAAAGAATTAGGTAAGAATCACCTAATCTTTTTTAACTTCATGTTTAAAGTACCAGAATAAAATTTTAATTTAAAATTCTGATACTATGTCTTCTTCACAAAAAAGATAATTGACTAATTGATACAGAACAAACCATTAAGATAACAAATCAGAGCTGGTAGTCTCATTGAGAGATTTACATTTTTATTACATTAACATAGAATTTTTCCATTTTATTTACTGAGAATGACAGCGTTCCAAGGAAGTTACTCAGTCAAGCCCTAATGGATGAATTTGAGTGTTGCGTGAGGCTCTAAATTGAGCATTGTATTGTGTGCTTTTAAGTCAGAGCTTTTGTTCTTATCAGTGTGTTTACAAAGAGCACCAAAGAGGTCTGTCTTTGTGATCCTGTATTGCAGTCTATTAGCACTCACTCTGGAGTAACCAGTGTTTAAATCAAATACACCTTATTCTTCTGTAATTGCATTATTTACAATGGATTAATAAGAACAGTTTCATTCATTGAAATTTGGGTTTCACAGATTATAAACAAGTTCTTGATCTGTTTGAGATTAACTTCAGCCATTTACATTCAAAACACATAAAGGTTAGCTAGAGCTTCTTTAATAGTCAAGGTGGTATTAACAGTGTATTAACAACCATCTTTCTGTTTTATAGGATGATGCTGATGTAGAATGGAAATTTGCAAGGGCTAAACTTTGGTTTTCTTACTTTGAAGAAGGGAGGACTCTCCCAGTACCCTTCAACTTAGTGCCAAGCCCAAAATCTTTGCTGTATCTCCTACTCAGAATCAAAAAATGGATTTCAAAACCATTTCTGTGCCAAAAGAAGAGCTTTCAGGAAGATGCAGAAATGAACAAGGTAATTGTATAGTGTGTATACGCACTGCTAATTTTTAAAGATAAAACTAATTTTAACTTCATTTTTCTTGTTGACCTGTTTTTCTGATAAATTTCCCAACACACTTAGTCCATACTGAAGTCAGTCACTATGTACTGGCTGAAATTCTTGCTTTGTTTTTTAATATATTTGTCTACATCTGTGATCAGTAAAGTCCAAAAATACCATTGTACATTTACAGTTCTTCTTGTTTCTTGTCACAGAACCAGAGAATAACTCAGGCCAGGAGGGACTTCATGAGGTCTCTGGTCCAACCTACTGCTCACAGCAGGGTCCAGTCTGAGGTCAGGCCAGGTTGCTCAGGACTTCATCCAGTCAGGTCTTGAAAACCTCCAAGGGTGGAGACTGCACAACCTCTCTGGGCAACATGTGCCACTGCCTGACTGTCCCTCATGGGGAAAAAGTTGCTTCTTCTACCTCTTGTTTGAATTTGTCCATTGTCTCTCATCCTCCTGTCCTGCAGCACTGTGAAGAGCCCAGCTCCTTCTCCTTGATGATGTCCCCATACACACTGGGGGGTTCCTGTTAAGTATGCCTGAAGCCATCTCTGCTTCAGGCTGAACAAGCCCAGATTCCCCAGTGTCTCTTCACAGGGCAAGTGCTCTAGTCCCAAACATCTTGGTAACCCTCTGCTGAACTTGCTGCAGTTTTTTAACATCTTTCTCACTGTCCCCAAAGTCCCTCAGGTCTTTTTTTGCAGACCTGCTCCTCAGCTGCCAGCCCCTCCATCTGTGTTGCTGAAAGAGCTAATCCTTCCCATTTGTACTTACTGAAAGTCATAGGGTTCCTGTCAGCCCCATCCTCCTGGATGACATCCCTGTTCTCAAGCCTGTCAGCTTCCCCCCATCAAATTTGGCTTTGTCTGCAAGCTTGGCAGGAGTGTGCTCCAACATCTCCAGTTATTTTATCTCAGAAGGCCATCTGGATGGTCAGACAGGTTTTACTCTTCATAAACCCACACTTGCTGTTCCCAGTCACCATCTGCTCTTCCACTTGCCCAGAAATGGGCAAGTCCAAGAGGACTCAACCCATTATTTTGCCAGTTACCAAAGTGAGCTTGATTGCCCAGATCATAATTTTTGGCCTTTTTGAAGATGGGTTTGACATTTGTCTTTTTCCAGCCTTTGGGGACCTCTCCCAATCTCCGTGATTTCTCAGAGATGATACAAGGACTTCATCTGTTCTCTCAGCACCCGTCGATCTAGCCCATTGAGGTCAATGGACTTGTCTGGATCAGGTTCCCTCAAGTAACCCCTGACTTGACCTTCCTCCGCAGCTGGTCGTTCTTCTCTCGAATCCCTTCACTAAACACAGAGGACTGAGAGACTGTTGGTGAAGCCTGAGGCAAAGGCAGCATCAAGTCCCTCAGCCTTACATGAGTCTGCTGTCACTAAGTCCCCTGCCCCACTAAGCAACAGGCCCACATTTTCCTTGTTCAGCCTTCTACTGCTATTGTAGCAGTAGAAGCTCCTCTTACTGCTTTTTCAAAGGTCAGCTTAAGGTAAGCTTTGTCTTTCCTCCCACCACACTCATGCCTGGGCTTAGTTTCTAATTTCCCCCTTTGCAGCGTGTCTCTGCTTCCACCAAGAATGCATCTTACTTTTATTATAAAGCATTCTGTTATCTGTTTTATTTACAAGAGAAGTGTAGTAAAAAGCACTTGAGTTGATTCCTTGCTGTATCTCAAGGGCTTATTTAAAGAGTTTGTAGCCAATTTTTCTTGGTATAAATCAAATTAATTGCTTCAGGAGCACATGGTGTTAGGTGGTACTGGAAGCGTAAAGACTAGCACTATTGTAACACGTTAGGAAGAAGATCTTTGCAAGACAACTGATCAGACATAGTGAGTAGAAAGGTGAGCATATGGTAACATTCACACAAAAAAAGAAATTACAGGTTTGTCATGGTGGCAGAAACAAATGTGTCATTTATGGAAATTTTAATGTGGAAGGATCTTTGTTAAAATAGCAGTAGTCTGAGCAGAGGCCTGTTCAATGTTAGGAGTTCTTGAGTCTGTAGTCAAGAGTCATTACTTATTAGACTGGGGACCAGTAAAGAATTTACATACATCTGTCAGCTCTCTGTCACCAATGTGGGCAGCAGCACTTTTTCCATCACAGTTACCAGTTGAGGAGTAAAAGAGAAAAGAAACTGGGTTGCAATCCTAGAAGGAAAAAATGGAACTATAGGGAAAAATACCGTGCCTCTGACAAGCCTCTGCTTCTGGTTACATTCATAATAGTCTATAAAAACAAACACAGATATTGCAAACACTCACCAAAGTCAAGATTGTTATTAACTTCAGATGTCTCGTGTGTGCTACCGGTAATTTTTCTAGCATTTCACAGACCCAACAGAGGTGATACTGTATTTTTAATGACTCTGACATTTGCAAAACTTTCCATCAAGCTCCTTGATGCAAATTGATTTTGCAACTTCTGAGAGTGATAAAGTCATCACTGAAAAATCATGATTTGAAGGATATGCATAAAAACTTCTAATTGAGTGATGGTTAGAAATAACAAATCAAAGGCCTTTTTTTTCTTCTAATTCACTTAATTTGTGACTTTGAAAAGCACATATGTAAGAAGCTTATTTTTAATGACTTTTTAAAAAGAAATTTATGTTCCCATAAAACAGGTCTCTTAAAAATCCCATTCTTACACCCTAAGGAAAGAAACTGGGTTTTTATAATTCCTTTCCAAAATTACATTCAAACCTCGCTAGAAAGGTGCAAAGTCTAATAATTACCAGTTCTAGGTAAAACAGTAATAGTTGTGTCTGCTTTTACAGCGGTCCCTCTGAAAGAAAGCTGTAATGATGTAACCATCATTTATCAGATGTTTTCCCTAAGCCTGAATTAATTTTTAGTCTTCAAATATTAATGCTTTCCACTCACTGCAGACTGTAGTATAATGCTAAATGAAATGTGCTTACTCTTCAGCCAAAGGAGCTATAAAACTGCAAGTCAAATTAAAAAAAACAAACCACACCAAACCAAAACAAACGTTTTTCATTGAAAAACATAAAGCAGCTGAGTTGCATCTATTCACTCCTCAGCTTTTCCAGCAGGGTGACTGATACTGCCAGATGACTACATTTTTATTTACCTTTTGGACTGCCACATACCGTAGAGCTGACTTTATCTGAATCTATCAGATGCTGCCATCCTTCACACTTCTAACAAGTAACTAAAATCTTTTTGTGTCACATTTTGACCCACAGTTGATGATTTGTTATTGTTGAGGCTGTTTTATGGCATCTTCTCAAAGGCATTCTCATGTTTTTTGGGTTTTGACTTTGGACTCATCCTGTGCTGAGCAGGTTGGCGCTGCTGTGACTGCTGAGCAAGGAGCTACCTGTGCAAGGAGCTACTATAAATGCAGTGAGCTGTGCGAAGATAAGAAAAGATTTGGCAAGACCACACGCAAGACTTGGTGACTGTCTGTGCTAGTAAATTAAATGTGACAGGGAAGTTATCTGGGCACTGAGGCAAATTCAGGAATGGCTTGCCCCTATTCAAGTAGTTTTCCTCCCAAAGTAGGGTTACTGCAAGACACTCTCCCTAGACCATTCCAGTTTCCAGACTGTGCCTAGGGAGAGAGAGAGTTGCTCTGGTGCAAGTCCTGCTTGGAGGACACAAAAAGTTTACTGATAGAAGACATTGCATTGCAGTACCCAGAAATCATAGAATCATAGAGACATAGAATGACCTGGGTTGGAAGCGACCTCAAAGATCATCTAGTTCCAACCCCCCTGCCATGGGCAGGGACACCCTCCACTAGACCAGGTTGCCCAAAGCCCCATCCAGCCTGGCCTTGAACACTTCCAGAGATGGGGCAACCTGTTCCAGTGCCTCACCACCCTCATAGAGAAGAATTTCTTCCTTATGTCTAACCTAAATCTACCCTCCTTCAGCTTAAGGCCATTGCCCCTTGTCCTATCACTCCATGCCCTTGTAAACAGTCCCTCTCCAGCTTTCCTGTAGGCCCCTTGAGGTACTGGAAGGTACCTATGTTAACACACGCTTGAGTTTACTGATTCAGACCCAGCCGGTGGGTTTTTCTCCTGCCGAGCTTGCATCTTCTCAGTGCAAAAGCAGTAGCAGCACCAGGGTGAGTGTAAAGACAAAAATTAGGGTGGGAAGTGGGGAAATTCTGCCCCTTGAGCCAGCTCTGCCCTGATTACTGCTTGCAGAAAATGAAGCCAGATGCCGTCAATGCTAAATGGCAAGTGATTTACATAGTTGTGTTCGAAGTGTGGCATGGCAGAAACTAATTTCTTGAGACACGTCTACATATAATAATAAAGGCTGTGAAGATGTTTTCTTTCAGGCTGTTGATTAAACCCTGCAGATTTCTTCTGTTTCAGGCTAGAGTTAGTGTTTTAAACATCAAGTGAACAAGAAACTCAAACCAAAAAAGGAGAGAAATAAATTAAGCAAAAGGAGAGTTTTAAAGAAACTTACTTTGAGTTTTATTCCAAACTGAAAAATTGCCTTGTGAATGAGAAAGTTTATGGTTTAAGAGTCACAGAACTTGTTCATCTTCCTCAGCTAAAAACCTATAGTGGCAGATGATGTATTTAAGCCTTTTTCTTAAAACATGGCCTTTTGGAATAGAAGTAAGGAACAACTAATTATTGAAATAGCTTTAAACCTTCACTTAGACAATTAAAAATATGTTAACTTTTACTTTCCTAGTATAAAACAGTGTTTCTGAATTTTTCGCAAATGACCTTGGGTTATGGGAGCGCGAACTGAGTCATTTTCTGGGAGCCCTCCCTTCTGGTCCAAGCATGTACAATTTACTGGCATGCCAAGTCAGCAGCTGCTTCTGAAAACTGGTATTTAAGATGTTAACAGAGTGCTACACAAAACAACTACAGTAATTACATTGCTATTCTGATTGCATCGAATTTTAAATCATACTAGAGAATGACAAAATAGAGAAGCAAGTTTAAAGAAGAAGGTGTTTTCTAAGAGCAATGGTCCATGTATGCTGCATTTCTTCTTTCACATAACACTCCTGGAGGAGAGTTATTTTTGTTATTTGTTACATTTGTTATCATTGTTTTATTCAAATTACATTTTTTCCCCTCCAGTTACTCGTGTGGGTGTTCAATAGATATTAATTTAAAAATATGAATTATAGTTCAGTCATTAATGTGACAGGCTGAGCTGACTCTAGTAGTAATTTTTGGGAGAGGAAAAAGCCATAGGCATGAAGCTTAAAGAGACTTTAAACGTTTTGTGTAAAATCAAAGGTATAATGAAATCTTGGCAATCTCTGCCACCAAGTGGTCATTCAGCAAGGTACAATAGATGTTCTGTCCTGTTACTGATACACATAAGCAGATTTAAGGAAGTTAGACACTTCTGATTTACCTGCCAACTTTCCAGCTGCAGTCTGTAGCTAATCCGAAGTACATTATTCTGTTCAAAAAATGTAGAGTGCTGAAGGGTCAAAGTTAAGATAAAGATGTTACAGTGTGTCTGGTTTTACAAGTTTGTGGTGTCTCACATTTCACCACATATTACCAATTTTGCTATTTCAAGTGAAAATCAAGTTTTGGTTACACATTGGATTAACTTTTGAAGTGAACCAATGTAACATAAATTTGAAACTGGTAGCCGGCATGACAGATTACATTTAAAATACATAATAAAATACATAATAAGTATTAAAAAATGCACAATACAATTAAATGCATTTGTAGATGATCTGTAAACTGGTAAGTAACAGGATCATGACTGGTATCAGAGCTGCAGCAAAAGTAAGATACAGAAGGGCTGGGAGACGAGCCACACAGCTGGAGCCCAGGCTGACGCCCTAGAGCAGCTTTGGCCAGGGCGACGTTCCTCTGCCACTGCAGAGGAAGCATACTCTTCCTCTTAGGCTACTCCATATTACAAAAAATTGTGCATTGGGAAACCAGAAACTGAAAAATCAGGAAGATTTTTTTTTTTCTCTTTTAATCTAGTAATAAAGGTGAGGTCCAAGAGAGTATTATTAGTTCTAAAATCCTGAAAGAGATAGTCATTACACAGTCATTTAAACTCACTAGCCAGTCTTTTTTATTCTATGTCAGATACATAGCTTAAGTTAAAACGTTTAGATAAGCTTATGTTTTCTAATATACATTCAAATCATTTAAGGTAGATTTATTCAAGCAAGAAAAAGCAACAATAACTTGGCCTTCTTCTACACCTTTCATTGAATTTCCATCCAAATTCAGGTTAACAGGTTAGAGATTAATATTAGTTATTTATATATCTACTTATATATTACTATGTATCTTCTATCATTATTTTTGCTTAGTCAAATAAACATAGTCTGAATAGATACATAATGTTTTTAAAAGTATGTGTATATAGATATTGTGAATCTTTCTAAAGAACAAAAAGAAATTACAAATTCAGTGTAAACTTTGCATTAATTGCAAATTAGTATATTTTACCAATAAGCATAATATTTTCTTCGGGAAAAAATATCAAAGGACAAACATGATCTAGTGAAAGGTGTCCTTGCCAGAGGGGTTGGACTACATGATCTTCAAAAGTCCTTTCCAATCCAAACCGTTCCATGATTCTATGAAATGCTAGACAAAATGGAAAAACATTTAACTTATTCCCTGTTTGCAGATTCATGAAGACTTATTTATTTTACTGTTAAAGCAAATATAAGGTTATTTGGAATTCTAGAAAACTAGACTTTTAAGGAGCAAGCTCTGCAGCAACTGGGAGAATTGAGAATTTTAATTGATGTCCTCCTTGCTAGTTAAACAACTGAATCTGATGCCTTATTCAGCCTTTTTATACCTATACAATTCCTACATTTTTTATTTCAGCCTTTGTATTAGTGCGTGCGTGTTAGAACAACCCCAGTAAAGAAAAGCCCCAGTAAAGCTCTCTGCCTAGATGTTGTTATCATTTGGTAATTTACATCTGGTGAATATTTATCACATATTCTGTATTTCTACTTCCATTTATTATCAGAGTTCAACCATGAGAAGTTCCCGTTTTACCTCAAGAGGCTGTAATGATTTCAGTTGCAGGAGAAATGGCTACATGAAGGATTTAGCTTTCATGAACGTCAGGCATTGTGTTGTGGGCTCCCTTGATGTGTGACATGCCTGTACAGCTGCATAAGCATCTAACCCTCCCCTGCTTTCCTCCCCATCAAACTATATCCCAGAATACTCCACATATAGTACTTACCAGGCTTCAAAGTGCCCCCTTTTGCTTTTCTGTACGTCCTCAATGCATTAAGCCATGGAGGTAACCAACATGGAGAAGCTTGCTCAAAGTACGAGTCCACAGGATCTGAGACATGGCAATGATAGCCCTGTGTTTTAAAACAGTAAAACTTTTATTGGACCATGTATAATTACAGAGAACTGACTTTTTACTGACTGTCCCACTCATTGCTCATCCAGATTAATCATGATTTTTATTTCATGTTTTTTTATTTCTTGCATTACTACTCATTGAACTCACCCCATTATCAGTCTAAAGTAATATCATTCATTTTGTTTTGACAGTCGCCATTCACTCTTACTGCAGCCTAGTCATTCAGCTTGAGTCTCAGTTCACCATTTTGTGATGCTTTAGTCCTCCTCGAAGATGTAAATCAGTAACGAAGCCCGCAAATTGCATCCTTGGTGTTTCATTGGGGAGTGGTACCCTTTTCTTTCAGCACGTGTAGTAAAGAAAGTGCTACTCAAAAATGCCAGCTGATAATTTTTGTGGTCCCTGTCATGAACTGCATAACCAGTTACATTCACCCATTAGTGCAAACTCCTCGTGTATTTTGTGGTAGTGAAGGTCACATTAGGTACGGGCAAGCGCTATGAAAGAAAGGAAAGGGCAATGCTGCCTTCCAGGAATGCTCTCCTCCTTCCTTGGCTTCTCCCACACCCTGCCCTGTCTCTCCCTCATCCATTGCCTACAAAGCTGTGCCGCAGCAGTGCTGCCTTCCTCCTCACCTGGGTCCCTCTCCTGTGCACCTGAGGTGCGAGGGAAGGCCCGCGGGGACGTGGCTGCTCTGCTCTGGTCCCTTGAGCATGTTAGGAGCAGGTGAGAGGCAGAGTAAAGGGAGAAAACCTCTGAAATGGTTTGGTTCAGCTCTTGTGATGAAATTCTACACAGGTAGGAGGACTTTACCGCAGTCATTTAATACTCCCCAAATTGAGCTTAACAGTTAATGTTCTGTAATGTATCATAAGATATATGCATGAGGTAATTTAACCATATTGTTCTTCTATTTATTTTGTACTATAAATAATGTTTCCGTTTCAGCTTGGCCAAAGGAAGCAATCAAGTATAAGAAGCTCAGATGAAATCCATTTAAACAGTTTAAACAATCCTCCAAGGCAATACCAGGTAAAAACCAGTTTCTTTTTTAAAAAAAATCAGGAAGTAGTTGAACTGGGCAGATCAGACTGACAGCATGAGGACAATTGTGAATTGATGTTAAACAACATGAATCAAGAATAAATCCACAGACCTTGTATGTATCAGATATAAACACAATTATTTAGGTATTTGCAGTACAATCTGAAGGTGTTTTTTTCTCCTCCTTGTTTCTTGAATGCTGCCCTTATAGTGTGATATTTCAAAGTGCTTGAAAAATTTTTTTTTTTAATTTAGAGACAGGTTGAGTCCTCAACTGCACAGGGCAAATTAAGAAAACCAAAAAGAAATGCAAAATCTTCCCACTCCTGAAGCAGTTTAGCTTATTGTGCCACACCGCTACATTCTAGTACCTCAAGCACTGAAATATCGTTCACCCTCTATGCTATCAATATAATCTATTTATTTTTTGCCTCCTAAACAACCACAGTAAGCTTTTGTGCAGTTAAGCATAAAGAGACCCCCAGCATAGTCCACATAGCTGCTTCTTTCCTTCCTGTAATACTGCAAAGCGGGTGGAAAGGAACAGGCAAGAGCTGCTTGGGCATTAGAACAAGATTGTCTGAATACAAAAAGGTATAGAAAACAGGGTGAAATTAAGTATATATATTTTTAATCATAAGACAGAAAAAAGTTTTTCCCCTTGGGCAGGCTAGCTCTGCACCACTTTTACATTATGCAGTGTCTGTACAAGTCTATTCCAAAAAATCTGACTTTTTCACAGCCGATTTCATTATGATGCAGTGATAGAAATGACAATTTTAACCCATAAACATAAGGATGTGTGGCTTTGTATTTGAAACATTCTCCGGTTATTAGAATAAACAGTACAGCAGCTGACCTTGCAAGCGTGGCTGTAGTGATGGTCTGAAACCACTAATCTGGGACGATTCACCTCACAGCCACCTCTGGTCAGGTCTATTACTGCAGAGACAAAAGCAGACACATAAATCTATGCATATTTTCTATCTTGCAGTGAAAAACAAAAAGTATTGTGTTGTCAAGGGCTACACCATATGAAAATATTAAAGCCAAAGATAAATACTCAAAGGTAATTAGATACCTTGTTCGTATTCAAGTAATTTGAACTAATGGGAGAATCAGGGGAAGAATTAATTTTTCCTGGAAAAATTAAAATTTGCATCTAAATTTGCTGGCCTACATTCCCCTTATTTTTAGCAGAGAGGGTAGTCATTCTAATGGTGTGATTTATTTGATCAGTTTTAGCAGTCTAAGATGAACTGTCCTCTCAGGTTTGCTTTTTTGTCTCCCCAGAGGGAGTTAAGGGTGACTGCCACAGATATGTGTATTCTGTATTTGGTTAGATGAGTCCCAGCGAGGTGCTTGCATGACTCTTAGAATATGGGTCCCATTTTCTCTAAGCCTTATATTGGGAAAAGATAAATTATCAGATAAAATATAAAAATAGATTAAACTGATTACAAAAGGGTTTAGCAATTAGCCCTGCTAATCAGGGTCATTATCATCTTCTGGTAACAATAAAGGCTAGATGGTTTCACCTACATGGAGATCAAAGCTGCAACTGTATTCTCTGGAGTCTATTCTCATAGTCATAGACTCCAGTAGTAGCTTAAGCTTCATGAATGATTACATTCATAAGATGTGTTTAGTTTTCTAGAATCATAAAGTCTAAATATCTACTGCAGATGAAAGCAGAGATTTTTACATTATATTCCTTTAACCTGGCAAGTCCTGCACTGAAATGTCTGAATGCAACAGAAGATAACAGAGCTCAGAGCAATACTAGAAAGTCCAACTAATAAAATTCTTTTTTTTTTCCTTTCTTCTCTGCAGAAAATAATGAAGCGTCTCATTAAAAGATATGTACTGAAAGCTCAGATAGATAAGGAAAGTGATGAAGTCAATGAAGGTGGGTATGTTGATGAATTGTATGTTTATCTCTAATCAGAGAGTCAGAACAGACTAATTAAGTGCAAGTTTACAATTGCAAGATGTAAAATTAATATGAAATTGAAGTTAAGGAAGATATCATAGAACCATAGATGTGGCTTTCTGTCTGCTCTCCCATCAGAAACTATCACTGATCGGACACCTTCTTGTAAAGAGTGTTGCCACTCTGGTGATGCTCATGCATTTCCCGTAGGGAGGCTGCATTTGGCTGGTTTGGGGGACTCTGCAGGAATTCCCCCTTGTGTGGGAGACGCATACGTGGTGATACACATGCTTCAGCCTTGGTTTTGGCATGGCTTCTTAGCTGGAAACAGATGGTGAATGCACTTCATGCAAATGTTGTCTTCTGTTTGCACCCATCTGATGCTTGAAAGACCCTTAGTGCAGCAGAAAAAGGAGAGGACTGCTCTCTTACGGACCGTGAGAGGACTTGTTCCTGGCCACGAGGACTCAGGCACTCTCGATCTGCGTTATCTCTCTTCCATCTAACAGATCATTTGGGTTTCGTATTCCTATGCATAAGCCACCATTTGCCAATGGGCCACAGAACATCCACTTCTCCTTCAACAAAGAAATCCAGAGAAATCCCATGATAACTGTGAGATATTTGGGTATGCTGGGTTTTTTCCCTTTGTTTTTTAATAGTGTGATCTTCTAATGTCTCTTACAGGTGAACTGAAGGAAATTAAACAGGACATCTCAAGTCTGCGTTATGAACTCCTTGAGGAAAAATCCCAGAATTCTGAAGATCTGGCAGAACTTATAAGGAAACTTGGGGAAAAACTGTCAATTGACTCTAAGGAAGAAGAAAGCAAGAGATAACCTAAACATTTAAGAAATGCAACAGAACGTTGACAATTCACTTAAAGCCATATTTCTGTTTTTCTCAAGTCTAGCTCACATTTCTACAACAGATTCAGAAATTAAATCATTCCAATTCTTATTGAAAAACCACAGTGGCAAATCCTCTGTGTCAATGGTAGAGAGGAAATACCACTTGAGTAAAGATATTTATTTATTCTTTACCTGCTGAAGAAGATTTAATTTTAGATCATTTTAATATTCAATTTACCTCTTTTAGAATTCCAGTGGAATCTTGGTAAGCCCAGTCATGAAAGATTAAAAGCATAAATCTAAACTTTTCCTATGTTAACTACTTATTTTTGCAAATTTCCTTTTGTAGACATTCTTAACATATATTTTAGTGAAGCAAAAGAGGAAAATTCCAGACTTTTACGTATTTATATCAGAAGATATTTAATTTTTCAAGCATTCCTTACTACCAAAAAAAAAAAAAAAGCTAACTGACTTTCTTAAAAATGTGTGGGATATTAAAGTATTTTCTTTGAACATTTCCTTGAAGAGGTAGATAGCAGAATACTCAGAGCACTATGTTACACTCTTCCCTACTTATCCCTGTCACTACTGAAGTATCCTGAAAGATACCTAGGTTCTAATGGGAGTGCATTAAGAAAGAAATATTTTTCACCAAGTTTATTGAAAAGCTGTTGCTGAGGCCTGAAGAAAACTTCTTTAATCCAAAATAATTAATCCTGGAAGTTCTAATCTGTTCCAGAATTCCCAGGTTCTCCAGCTTTTATGTCTTGAACTAAAACCTGCAAACTGCAGGGAAGGGGTTTGAATGTAAACCTGGTAACATGTTTATTTATTTAAGGTGAAAGATACTAAAATGTTAGGTGCAAATTCTCTCTCTGAATTCTGGGAATGTCATGCATTAGAACCATGTTTCCCCATAGTTAAACTTGTTTAAATTGCTGAATTTTGTTCAGACCTATCCTTAGCAAACAAAAACATGTTCGAAAGTTCATGAAATCTCATCTATGGATTTACATCCCATGTCCTTTATTCCACTAGAGAAAGCTCAGCCTCTGTGCTGTATTCCCTAGAACTCTTTCAGTGAAGAATATTTACTCCATGTCATCATCATCAGCCTTGAAACTCTTCCTCCCTTCTCACTGTAATACATCTCTGTGTCTTCATCTGTTTAGCTGGAAAGAGGAAGCCCATTCCCTGTCTGGCTCGTAGTTCTGTGACTGACCAGCTAATATAGACATGCAGGACAGTCAGCTGGTTTCTATCTCTCCAGACAGATACAGCTGAAATTCCATCTAATTTTTCCCTCAGTTAATACAGTAATTTGGGTTTCTCTCTTCTGAAAATCACCGATTCTGAGACTGTTAGAAGCATATATTATATTGGGGATCTCTGCTCCTCTTTAAGCTTGGTTGAAATTAGTGAAAGAGTTGTGAAAAATTGTAGCAGGAATATCAAGATGTATAATGCACCTGTAAAAGCCTTGTATGTTTAGGAAACAAGGCTGAAAATGGCTTGTCAGTAATTGCTTTCAAATTAGCTTTGTGAAACTTATTTATTTTGGGATGTATCAGAACATTTCTGCCTCTCCCTTTTAGGCTGGAGGTTACGTTTTAATGGGTTTAGATTAGTTTTGAGCTGAATTTACTGATTGTCCTTTTTTAAAAAATTGATGGTGAAATCACTGTGTTTTTTCAGGGAAAAAAAGAGGGTATTAGAGCAGGTTTTGAAATCCCATGGAGATTGGGAGGGGCTCTGTCCTGCCTGGAGAGCAATGGAAGCTGCTGTGGAGGTCAGCCTGCCTCGAGGGTGTTTGCCATGGTTTGGGGGAACTCCTCAGCCTTCTGCTTGGCCCCTTAGTTTAGCCACAAACGGAGCACGTGGGACAATCCGTGTCCTGTGGGCCTCAGGCATAATGAACTCAGGGTTTAGAACTTTTAAGGCTCCTTCCTCTGAAGGAGGAGAAGGAAAGTGAGATTTTTCAAAGATACTAGAGCAGTCTGTATTAAAAATCACAGTGTGCTGGCCTGAAAAACTATAAGCTACAGAATAGCCAATTTCAGAACTCACCTCTGATCAGGAAAAAGCATTACCTCATAACCTGCAGTATTCCCTGCGGTAATCAACAGGGTTACTGCAGACTCTGAGATGACCTACTGGCTGGTCTTTGGCAGAAACACTCTGGTTTCTGTTTCAGCCATTGTGTGGAAAACAAAGGCAGTTGGGGTGATCTCGGGCTAGGAGGCAGCGTGAAGGTACCTTCACTGCCTTTCAGCTCCTGGATGGCTCCTGCCCGTCTCCCTTGGCCAGGACTGGCCACTGATTTTGAGTTCCTGCTTGAGTATTTTGGGCCTGGTTTTCTGAAGCAGTGAGCGCTTACTACAGCTCCATTGAATGACCGCATTAGAGGCCATACTACTCAAAGCAGATTTTCCACCTTTGACAAGCTCTTCAGAAAATCTGTTGGGCAGAACTTGAAGTAACAAGGAGACAGTCAAAGTTTGCTTTCAGTAATCAAAAATCTTTATTTTCGATCATTGTAATGTACTATTTGGATCTGCGGTCTAGTCCTAGATGATGGTAAAACCTTCAATCTCCATAAATGCAATGTAAGGAAATCTGTAAACACAGTTTAAGATCCAGGCACTTTTAAATTGAAGATTTTTATTACAGAGCTAAAATGGACACTGTGAATTTCTTTAAGCCCAAATTTTGACTTACCTTAAAACTATAAGATCATAGTGTATATATTGTATTTCATGAAGAAAATACATATGGATTTTTTTAATTCAATGAAGATATTTTATATGTAGTTATTACTCATGGAACAATTTGTTAATTATATTTGAAGAGGTCTATTGCCAAATGTAGTGTGACAAGCAATGTAGTATTTAAAATGAGCACAATACCAAATATACTATTCTGATTAAAAAAAATTAAATGTACCAGACTCAAAATAAGTTTGTGATGCACTGTATGAACATGTTGGTCCTTCACTGGGAACATTTGGCTGCTTTTGCTTGGAAGAAAATGGTAAAATACTTTCATTTGTTAGCAACACTAGTACAAAAAAAAGTTTCACAGAACAAATGCCTTGTCATACTTGTTTAGACTCAAGGTCAAGAATTTTGTCTGATGTGACTAACTGACTGATAACAGATGTTTCAGAAGAACCCTGTAGTGGGTAACAGGTACTGTGCATCCTACATAGTTCTCCTTCTGGTTTCTAGTACGAAAAGATTGACATAACTTAGATGAGGAAGTGTTTCCAGAATTTTTTGTGAATTACTAGGATAACAAGACAGTCTTGCTTAATTGTTTCTTTAAATCTTGTTAGTTTTTGATCTCAGCAATTCACAGTTTCTGCAGCAGCAGTTTCGACATCTAAACCAGACTTACTATGAAGACATTGGCTTTTATAATTTTTCCCCTGAATAGTTCTTAAACTTGAATTATGAGACATGGTGGGTATAATCTGTCATCTCTTAGACATTCTCCTCTCTGTTCATACAAACATACTTCACTAAAAATATAAGAGGGCTTAAAAAATTCTGAACAGAGGAAAATGCAGTAGGAAAATCCTCAAATCAACAAAGCTTTGCCCAAGGGTTTCTCTCACTATTCTGGATGAAACCAAATCACATCTATTATTATTGGGAAAAAGTCTTATCATCATGGAGGTCTACAAATATTAGGGAGTAATACTTGACTGGCAATGCAAGCCTAAGGTACTCAACATTTACAGCAACAGGTCCTGAGTAAGAGCTACAAGGTTTCACATATATAGATTCAGATATTCCAGGTCAAAATCTGCTGTATTCCACCCTATTTTAGAGCACTGCCAAGCCAATGAATCCTGCTGGATTTAAAGTGAGATCCACAGGTTTGTCTGATTTTAGATGCCAACCACGAAGACTTCTGCATCTGAGCTCATCTAGACTTTATCTATATTCAGTGCGTAGAAATGGTCAAAGACCTAGCTTAAGGTAGACACGTATCCCAGGTGAGTCATACAGTAGAAGTGACCATTTCACTCGAATTACTCTAAAGAATCCACTGTAGCTGTTACCAGTGTTTATAATGAAGTGTGAGGAGTGCCACGTTGGCAGCAATGAGCACTGCAGGACACTGCAGAGCCATGAACCATCACAAGTGCTCATCTACTTGGAAGCACTTGAACCAATGAGGCCAGTCACTGAGAGGGGCAGGACCTAACCTGCCTCCGGAAGAATCCAGCCCATCCCCAGGGATGATGGATCAGTATGGTTCTTTGCGGCAATACTACATTTTTTTGTCCTTCTTCATTAATGTAATTGTGGGTAGACATAAATGAAAATACCCATTAACTGCATCTACCCAGACATGAGAAAAGCTGTAACATACTGCGCACATGGCAACTAAATTCTTGTTGATGAACCAGAAGCTTTATGACAAAGAGAAGTTCATATCCCATGTTTTAGTACATTGTGGTGAGCATGTATTTTCAATATTATGTCTTTAAAGTTTACAATAGGCAGTTTGATCTTGGCAGTACTTCAGCTATAGCAGCTGTGTCATGTAATTTACTAAGAACATGTTCTCATGACTCCACTGTCCCAAAATGCAGTTTAGTCCAATGAAATCTTGCATTTGTCTCTCAGAGATTTTCCTCAAGCTTGAAATTTGTAACTGAACATTATAATGAATACAGTATAAACCACATAATGTGCAATTGTACTCATTTGCAGAACAGTAGAAATTGTCCTTATGTTGAAAATTGCTCATTTTTCGTGTAAATATTTAATGATTTTTTAATTCATTAGAAAATGCTTGGTGTGAATAACATTTCTTATTTCTAAGCACTTATGTTCCTGCTTAAATTTTAATTTGGCCTGTGGAAAATAGAATTCATAAATTAAAAAGTTTCTGTTTGGAAAAATGCTTGTACTTCAGGAGCTCATATCAAAAGAGAAGTTGGGTGAGGCTGAGAAGCATACCTTAAACTCCAT